GAAGCTGCGCAGAGACCTGGAAGAGGCCACTCTGCAGCATGAGGCCACAGCCTCCACACTGAGGAAGAAACATGCCGACAGTGTGGCAGACCTTGGCGAGCAGATAGACAACCTGCAGAGGGTGAAGCAGAAGCTGGAGAAGGAGAAGAGCGAGCTCAGGCTGGAGCTGGATGATGTGGTCTCCAACATGGAGCAGATCGTCAAGAACAAGGTAAACTGGGGACTCAGTTCTTTGTGGAAGACAGTCAATCACTTATAGGACTATTCCAGGTTGACTGGAGGCATCAGTACATACATGTGAGTTCTTTTGCCTCTTTCAGACTAATTTGGAAAAGATGTGCAGGACTCTGGAAGACCAGATGAATGAGTTCCGGACCAAGTCTGAAGAAAGCCAGCGTGCTGTCAATGACTTTACTATGCAGAAAGCCAAGTTGCAGACTGAGAATGGTAGGCATGTTCATTGAATATTAATTCTGTAGACACTCCTTGAGACAATCCAGATCCATATTCACTGTGTTGTCATACTAGGGGAGCTGTCCAGGCAGCTGGAAGAGAAGGAGTCTCTAGTTTCCCAGCTGACTAGAGGCAAGCAGTCCTATACCCAGCAGATTGAGGACCTCAAGAGACAACTGGAAGAGGAAGTCAAGGTAACTACTTGGCTATTTTCACCATAGTGTGTAAAGGCAGGACTCTGTGCCCAGACTCTGATGTCCTCTGTGTGTTTCTGTGTCCTCAGGCGAAGAATGCGCTGGCCCACGCAACGCAGTCTGCTCGCCATGATGCAGACCTGCTGAGGGAGCAGTATGAGGAGGAGCAGGAGGCCAAGGCTGAGCTGCAGCGCAGTCTGTCCAAGGCCAATGCTGAAGTGGCTCAGTGGAGAACCAAATACGAGACTGATGCCATCCAGAGGACAGAGGAGCTGGAGGATGCAAAGTAAGGACTGATGTCCAGTACCTACTTCTTATCTTTGTATTTGTGTCCTTTATATCCATTTATATCCTTTGCAAAGTTAGAAATGCTTAGATTTCATACTATACATGTAGTTGCAGTTTAAAAGGTGCTGTTTCATTTCTTCTAACAGATAAGCTTTTTGTTTGCGTTATGTTTAAATTAGAATATAAGACGAACAAAAAGTTTGTCTGTTTGCAGACTGTACGACTGTGCGTGTGGTAAGTGAAGAAGTGTTTGAGTCTGTGGCTTAAGGAGCTCCTCTTGCCTCAATCATTCCCTTGTCTGCGTTCCTCCTTCCCAGGAAGAAGCTGGCTCAGAGGCTGCAGGATGCAGAGGAGGCCGTGGAGGCTGTGAACGCTAAATGCTCCTCCCTGGAGAAGACCAAACACCGTCTGCAGAATGAGATCGAAGATCTGATGGTGGATCTGGAGAGGTCTAATGCAGCTGCTGCCGCTTTGGACAAGAAACAGAGGAACTTTGACAAGGTACCACTGGACATGGGTCTGAGTGATCTGAGGGAGACCTCAATGAGCCTCTCTGAAGCCCCTGTGTTCAATGTGCTTCCAATGGTCTGTTCTGATCCCCCCAGATCCTGAGCGAGTGGAAGCAGAAGTTTGAAGAGTCACAGAGTGAGCTGGAGGGCTCCCAGAAGGAGGCCAGGTCACTCAGCACTGAGCTCTTCAAGCTGAAGAACGCTTATGAGGAGTCTCTGGAGCACCTGGAGACTCTGAAGAGGGAGAACAAGAACCTGCAAGGTGAGACGTGCTATGTGCTCTTCACAGACATGTTGGGGGTGAATAAACCTGTGTTTCCTATCAGAATGGAATCCATAAAGATGCTGACATATCTCTTGACCCCCTGATTCCCAGAGGAAATTTCTGACCTGACCGAGCAACTTGGTGAGGGAGGCAAGACCATCCATGAACTGGAGAAAGCCAGGAAGCAGCTGGAGCAGGAGAAGAGTGAGATCCAAGCTGCTCTAGAGGAGGCAGAGGTGAGGGACTGACTCTCAGTGTGGACATATGAAAGACTTCGTGTCTACACCCTGATACACCAAGTCCTTCATTATACATTCACCCAATCGATAGATGTTGCCTTAATCAGTGAATTCTGTTGTTCTTGACAGGCCTCTCTGGAGCACGAGGAAGGAAAGATCCTGAGAGCCCAGCTGGAGTTTAACCAGATCAAGGCCGATATTGAGCGCAAGCTGTCTGAGAAGGACGAGGAGATGGAGCAGGCGAAGAGGAACCACCAGAGGGTGGTGGACTCGCTGCAGACCTCCCTGGAGGCAGAGACCCGCAGCAGGAACGAGGCCTTGAGAATAAAGAAGAAGATGGAGGGAGACCTCAATGAGATGGAGATCCAGCTCAGCCAGGCCAACAGGCTGGCGGCAGAAGCCCAGAAACAGCTGAAGAGCCTGCACTCCCATCTGAAGGTGACAACCTTTACTTTCATTACTGAAATTCATCTCAGATGTAAAATTTCATTTTATTCTGTAGTGTCACAGAATACTAGTAAAGTAATGTCATTAATCTGAGCTCTTTCCCTCCCAGGATGCTCAGCTGCAGCTGGACGACTCCCTCCGTGTCAACGATGACCTGAAGGAGAACATCGCCATTGTGGAGAGACGCAACAACCTGCTGCAGGCGGAGCTGGAGGAGCTGCGCTCGGTGGTGGAGCAGACAGAGAGAGCCCGCAAGCTGGTGGAGCAGGAGCTGCTGGACGTCAGCGAGAGGGTGCAGCTGCTGCACTCCCAGGTACTGTCATCCCGCAGGCTCTTCCGCACAGTGTGGGCTCCAAGTGTAGAGCCTCACGCTCACCCCTCTTTCCCTGTGGCAGAACACCAGCCTGATCAACCAGAAGAAGAAGCTGGAGGCCGACACGTCCCAGCTCCAGACGGAGGTGGAGGAGGCTGTGCAGGAGTGCAGGAACGCAGAGGAGAAGGCCAAGAAGGCCATCACTGACGCTGCCATGATGGCAGAGGAGCTGAAGAAGGAGCAGGACACCAGCGCTCACCTGGAGCGCATGAAGAAGAACATGGAGCAGACCATCAAGGACCTGCAGCACCGTCTGGACGAGGCGGAGCAGATCGCCATGAAGGGCGGCAAGAAGCAAGTCCAGAAGCTGGAGGCCCGTGTAAGTGTCTGACAGTTCACACGCTGTTGTGTGGAGATGTAATCAGGATGAATTTCTAAGTTAGCCTGGTGAAATTCTGGGTACCCCTGCATATTATACCCCAGAACTCGATCACCCTTTGTTACAATATCAGTGGACCAGTAGCGGATCAGCAGTTTAACTGCAGATATATTCTATTTTTACATAGAGAGGTCTGAATTAACACAGTATGAGAGAGAAGAAGAACTCATGTTAACGTCATTAACCCTGCAGGTGAGGGAGCTGGAGAATGAGTTGGAGGCTGAGCAGAGGAAGGGCACTGAGTCTGTGAAGGGTGTTCGAAAATATGAGAGACGTATCAAGGAGCTCACTTACCAGGTACCTTCTATTCTTCTGTCAGTTTCCCATTTATACCATCCTGTGCTGACAGCACCTCGGACAGCAGTATATCTGAGGCTGCGTGACCTGTGTGTCACTGTAGTGAATCTGTGTGACCTGTGTCTGACCGTGCTGTATCTCTGTGACCAGTGTGACACTGTATTCAGTTTGTGTGGTCTGATTATACTGTATCTCTGTGACCAGTGTGACACTGTACTGAATCTGTGTGGTCTCTGACTGTGCTGTATCTGTGTGTCCTGTGTGTGACTGTGCTGAATCTGTATGGTCTCATTATATTGTATCTCTGTGACCAGTGTGACATTGTAGTGAATCTGTGTGGTCTCTGACTGTGCTGTATCTGTGTGTCCTTTGTGTGACTGTGCTGAACCTGTGTGGTCTCTGAGTATACTGTATCTGTGTGAGCTGTGTGTGACTGTACCATATCTGTGTGATCTCTGTATCTGACTGTACTGTATGTAACTATGTTTGTCCTGTGTAACTGTTTCCTCTTTGTGTCTTTTATATGTTACTTTATAGTGCTGGATTGGGAATTTTCTGCCTGTTTTGAATCCCTGTATGTGTGGTGACAGTGCTGTGTGTCCTGAGTAACACTCGTCCTATGTCTGACTGCCCCTGTGTCTGCACAGACGGAGGAGGACCGTAAGAATATGGCCCGCCTGCAGGATCTGGTGGACAAACTGCAGCTGAAGGTGAAATCCTACAAGAGAGCTGCTGAGGAGGCTGTAAGTATCTGACAACACCATCCCCACTCCGACACACAGGCCTCAGTATTTCATCCTGAGTCTCAGGGCTGACGCCCAGCTGTGCTGCTGTGTGTCTGTCTGTGTCAGGAGGAGCAGGCCAACACCAACCTGGGCAAGTTCCGCAAGTTGCAGCACGAGCTGGACGAGGCTGAGGAGAGGGCTGACATTGCGGAGTCCCAGGTCAACAAGCTGCGCGCCAAGACCCGTGAAGTGGGCTCCAAGGTCAGTGACCCCAGCGCCTGAGAGCTCACCACTGTGCTCTGTACCACAGCCTGATACCACACTGCTCTGAACGACTGCTGTGCACCATCACTCTGCTGTGCTGTCACACTTCTCTAGGTTACACTGCCCTGTCTCACACTGTTCTAAATCACACTGCTGTGTATCACAGTCGTGTATATCAGTGTTTTTTAGCTCTGGTTCTGAGGGGCCACTGTGTCTTCTGGTTTTTATTTAATCTTGATCTTTCATTAGTTTTGCTAATGATGCATTTAATGGATCTGAATGCTTGTTTTGACTTTTTTCTGCACTCAAAAATACTCAAGGTAAAGTATATTTTTCCAACAAATACAGCACGCAGAACATCATGAACTGTCCTCCGCTTGTGAATAAGAATTTAATCCTTTTTTTCTGACTAAAAACCTTGTGTTCCTTTGTGTTCATGATCAACAAATACAGGAGAGAATGACAAAATATTTGAAACATCCCTACAAATATTTTTTGTCTTCTTAGGTTTTAGTAGATATATTTCAGCGCATTCACCTGAGTAAGGGCAGTTCTGAGACTCAGTTGATACAAATCACAAAGACATTGAAACAAATCGTTAATTAAGAACTTAGCTAGAGCAAAGCACAGAAGAGGCTGCAGTTCCCTGGGGACAGAGTTGAGAATGCCTGCACTGAAGAACATTGCTGTCCATTATTCTTAGGTCACAATGCCTTGTGGTGAAACATCTGTGGTGGAATAGAATGAAACATCTAGCTTTTTTCTATTTTTCTGAATCTTGTCCTGGCCTCTTACAGTAGGTCACAGAAGTATTTTTTGTTGTCCACTTTTGAATGTCCTAACAACTTGTGAGTCAACGCACGTTGTAATAGTTCAAAGAAACATTCACAATACCAATTTAGGAGGACAGGCATATTGTTTATATTTTAGATTAACTCTACATGTACTTTTGGTAATACGTACAGTCATTACCTTGTCTGAACTAATGTTCTACCTGTACTGCAGGAGCGACATACAAATAATTTATTAATAGTTATGGGGGCCTCTACATTGTGAATATTTAACAATATAATGACTTTCAGTGTGTTTCATCTGTTTGAGAAGGAAAATGTCTGCTTGAGTCACACAAATAAATACTTTCAGGTAGAAGTATGCAGGAAGCACTATTGATATAGTGATTAAACTTCTTGACTTTTATAATATTTCTCAATACAGTACAACCATTCATTTCTGATGTTTGTGCTTTGTGATTAAGGGTTAACCTGTAAAACAGAGAAAAGTTAAATAACTAGTGAGCGTTGCAGTTTCCGTACTGCTGTTCTTTCGTAGTTTGAGATGGTCAGCAGAACATGGCGGTTTAGTTTCTGTGAGTTTGAGCAGTCACTTTCTAAAGATGACCTTTAACACTAGAACCCATATGTCTGGCTGGGTTTTCAGTGTGGTGGCACTGGATATTCCAATCATTGGTACATTTGGTTTAGTTCTGACAAGTATTTAGGCATTTTCACGAAGCATGTTTTATCTGGGGCTGGATAGACATGAGAACAGTTATTATCAGCTGTGATTTTTTGTTATGTTTGAGTCTGTATTTCCTTATGTATTAACTCATAAGTAGTATTCCACAACATACACAGCTCTTTGTTAATGAACTAATATGACATTAATAGTTGTTAATGACAAGTTTTCATGCCTTCCAGCTCCTGAACACTAACTGAGCCCAGACGCAGCTCTAACACAGTGCAGAGCCTATTAACTCCCTTAGTTCTTCTGGTAATAATTGCAGCTACATGATATCCAAACACTCACCAGGTCTTTTCTCTCCTTCTCTCTCTGTCTCTCTCTGTCCATCTCTCCCTCTCTCCCTGACAGAAAGGGCTTGATGAAGAGTGAAGCTCTCAGATGGACCTTTCTGAAAACCTCTAGTCTGCTGTGCTTTAGTCCCCCTTGCTTTCTCTCTGCTCTTCCTCTAATTCTGTAGAATAAAACCGGTTTCAAAACGAACACCTCTTTTCTGTGCTTCCTGCTTTGAAAGATTAGGAAATGTTAGAGACTGTCAGGGTCTCTCACCACAGAGTTACACTTCTAGTTATTTGTGTACTTGTACATCTTTTCTTACAACATGGTTTGCTGTAGCATCTCAATGTTCTGTGCTCTTTAGAAAATGTCTGGTGGAAATTCCATAAAAAGTAAAAAAAGAATAATCAAGGTAAAATTCACAAATACAGGGCAATGTATAATGAATCAAAAAAGCTTTTTTCTTGTACGGATATCCTTTGGTGGATAGCTTCTGATTTCTTCCCATGTTCCAGAGCTGCTGGACAGGATGATATGTGTCTCTCAATTGACACATGTGTATGTGTCTTCCTGGCTGGACTGGTGTCCCATTAGGGTGTGGTCCAGTCTTCTGCCCTGTGGCTGCAGGGTTAGGCTCTGGCTCATCACAACCTTTTATAGCAGAAAGTGCGTGTGGATAATGGGTGTCTCCAGTAACATAAAACTTGTTACTGCTTGTAAAACGCAACCACCAGCTAGCATTGCACTTGTATAGTGATAGAGAGCTATGAGGGTCGAATCACACTTGGTTTACATGTCATTCAGTCAGCCTGGCAAACACCACTAAATACCAATACTGGGTGATTTTCAGAACTCTACAAGGGATTATCTGGATTTCTTCTGAAAATACAGTAAGAATAAGTAAAACAACTGATTTCACTGTGTTCACTGTGCTCCTTCTGTCACTTTCAGTCCGTTTTGAAGAACTGCAGGTTTTATTAGTCATTTTGGAAGTCTTTAGCCACACCAGGGAATTAAAGTTCTTGCACACACTAAACCAGCAGCATGATATCCTTGTAATGAGTGTGCAGTACAGCCATAACCAAGCAAGCTAATATGAGTATGATCCAAAACATCCATAGTAAAGTGTTTATGAACTATTAATGAAAACCAGTACATAGCTCCTACAGTACCTATCATACCAAGTCACACCACACAGCCCAGAAGAATGAGCCAGTTGTGCACCACCACTCATTGAGTCCCAGTCCCAGTTAGCCCGTGAAGGGAGCCAGGCTCGAACCCGCGGTCCTTGGTCCACATATTTCAACCCATACACAGGCACACACCTTTGCCAGCCAAGCTAATCAGGAGGCCAGGAATGGAACACGTTCAATTTATTTTTAATAACAAGATTACACTTACGTTCGTTTTTCAGATTATTTCTAACACTTAGTGCTGTAATTAACAACTTTCCAAAATAGAAAAAGATATATTTCTTTCTACACAAATGGAGCTTCTACGGTAGTTAAAAGCAATGCACTGTACCTCTACTGATTTCATCCTCTGGGGAACAGGACATTTCTCTAATCTTCATAGGGCTGTTCCACAATTTCCTTCTTTTTACTTGTAATAATTGAGCAAGTAATTCATTGAATTTATATAGTGCACTTCTTTCTGAAGCATCTCAAAGCACTGTCCACACAGAAGGGGACCCATTTCATTTTCCAATGAAGTGCAGTTCCCAAGTGAGTGACACACAGCAGCCCCACTGCACAGCAGGTCAGACAGAGGGCTGTGAAATTAGGGAGACCAGATTGTACAATAGTTTGTACAGAGCAGGAATCAGTCAGGACACCCCTAATCTTACAAATAGCACCATGAGATCTTTGATGACCATTAGTTGGGACTATGGTTTCATATCTTACACGAACGTCTCCTGCTGTACAGTGTCCTCGGACATGATACCTGGGCATTGGTTTTGGAATTCTGGTCCAGAGGGTCCTGCCCCCTGCTGGTCCAGTTGAAAACTGCTGCCCGGTTTCACTTGAAAGACAATAGTGAAGCAGTAAAGTAAATAGGTTAAATTTATATCTAACATACTAAATATTTAAATAGTTTTCTTCACAATAAAATAAAAATGCACATTGGCAGTCATATAACATTCTAATTAGTTTACATAGACTTCATTATACATGGTTTTAAGAGTAGTTTTTCCACTAAGAAACACAGAGCTTTACAGACAACACCACGTCTCAAATGACATTGAAGTTACTTTGTTTACTTTGTTTAGAACTGTCCTTGGTATAGTATTAACGTACGTATCTGTTCATATTTGCATGGAGAGGTCTGATCTTTTCATCCTGTTAGGATTAGCCTTTAAGCAAAGGCTTTCTTTTTTTCCATGGCCTAGTGCTGAAAATATACATCGCAGGTTCGGGTTTCACATTAACTCCACCGATGTCTCTTATGCCTTAACGTATATCCATCCCAAAAGTGCAGCTGTTTCTTACATTCTTCCTTCTCTTCCATTTCATCTCCACGGTACGCCAGATTCTCGTAGCATGATGCTGTGTAAGATGTTAAATGTCTGGTGCTAAATGGAAATTATAACAATGCAGTACCTTGACCTGTGTCAGCTAAAGTGGAGATAAAGTGTAGATAAAGCACTTGCATGGAGAAGCCAGGTTGCTTCTCATGCTTCACCTATTTCCTTGCACAGTTTCCACGCTCATTCTTTGACTCGATTCATTTGGTTTTTGTGCTTGGCTAAGGAGCCAGCGGTGAGAAGCTATCATCTGTGGGATTATACCTGAACATGTCTAAATCAGAACCTTCCCCAAAAAGTATCAGTGTATCAGTGCACATCATCCCTAAAAACAAGAGCTGTCCTTTTAAGAAAATCTTGACTTTGAAAATTGATCAGACAATGTTAATACATTCATGATTCCAGTGCGGTTAAGTCCTGGTGTCTGCAGGTTTTTATTTGTAGCTCAGGTCTCAGCAATCCAGATTAGCTCATTACTGGTTTAATTGGGCCACTTTAAAAGCTCCTCCCAGCTCTTCAGATGCTGCCGCTTTAACGAGACCTAGAAACTCTGCAGACCCACCAGCCCCTCAGGACCAGGATACAACAGCCCTGACCTACACCAGCACAAAGGGATCCTGCAATGAATTTCTCTGCCACTCCATCCACTAGATGGAGCCACCAGACTTCCATTTTTATGTCCCTAATGAGAGTCCAGCCATGATGCTGAATTGTGTTCTTTTGGAACTTCAGTGAGCTGTCTGGTATCTTTAGGCTAAAGACTATGCAAATAACAAGAAAATGTACGAATGGTATCTTATTATTTTCTTACATTCTAGAAATGGTAGATTTCAACAGTATTTCTCAATTGTAGAAACATCACCTTTTGATAATCCGACCACACGGAAGGATAGTGGATAATCACGGTGAAATGATTTCATTGTATGACAAATAAAACAAAGAGTCAGAGAGATGAAATTGCCCAGCACCACTGATGAGAAATTGTCTCTAGGAATTGGAGTATAAAATCACACCAGGAGACGAATCTCCTAGAAGTAAACAGGCTGACAAAGAGACATCCCTACCATTAGTCTCTTTATCACTTTCCCCACTAAAAAACACAGACCCTAAAAAGAAAGCACAGAACATAGCCCTTACAACAGGAAAACAAGATTTTTTCTTAGGAGAGGGCTCGTTTTCTCCACAGAGCAGAGCACGTAATGAATGCAACGAGGATTTAATTAATGCATAACAGCGCGCTTTTCACACGTCCACTTGAAGCTTCCAGTCTAACGTCTGTCACCCAGGAACTTCAGAGGTTCGTTCGGTGGGACATATTTTAGTATGGCAAAGCAGAGCTTCTAGTGCAGAATGAGCCTGTTTGCATGCGATTCGGGGAAGCCTGGTTCACATTCTGCTGTCCATGTTATTGTTACAGCGTGTTTCATGCTAAGCAGTGTGCCACTAATCGATCTTCACTGAGTGAATGATAAGCAGAGAGCAGAAGATGAGCCTTACCTTTCCAGTGCTGGGATCTCCGGTGAGAAATAATAGAGACTCAGTTGTAACTGCCAGACAAGACCTTAGCACTCCACCCACAGCAGACATGGCCAAGTCTTTCCTTTGCACCTGTGTCCATTAACCCTATAGGCAGAGTCATTTTTAGCTCAGTCGTGCTATTATGAAGGTTAATGAGGAAATAGCCAGACGTCATGGCAGTTCATGCCTTAGCAGAGATCACCTATGGGCATGTTTGTGGATGTGTCTGTACAGGAACAGATCTCACTTCATTGCTCTCAGGCTGCCACCTAGGAATATTGTTACAACACAATTGTCTTTACAGATGCTTACACTAGAATATCCAGATGTCAAAAACAGGTTTTAATGTATGTGCGGATCCACATAGCAAGGATACACTCCCTCAGCCCACTGCACTACTGGCCTGTGCTGCATAGGCAGCTGTCCCTCAGACAAGGTCACCTTCAGGCCTCAGGACATTTATTGCAGGAAGTTGCTCCATTGTGCACAGCGAGGAGAGAGGGCACAGATACTAATTAGGGCACATCTCCCCTTGCTGTTTGTCCTTCATGTGGTAGCCAGAGAGAGAAACAGGTGTTCCCACATGACAGGCTGTGTTACTGGTCTGCGTGCTTGCTGTGGACTGACCTGTATATACGATCACTTTATTGGCCATATACAATTTCTTGCATTAGGAATTTGTCTTTTCGCATTCCCCAGCTTGTTCTCCATGAGACACACAGGCGGGGAAAGAGAAGCTGGGGGTCATGGCGCAGGGTCAGCCATTATACAGCACCCCTGGAGCAGCTGGGGTTAAGGGCCTTGCTCAGGGGCCCAACGGAGTAGGATTCCTCTGCTGGCCCCAGGATTTGAACCGGCAACCTTCCAGCCACAGACACAGATCCTGAGCCCCTGAACCCCCTAGTTTGTTCTGTATTCTTGTTGTAGACCTAAATTAATTAGATTTTCATGAAAGTCTGAGTGGACAGTGCAGTGGCGCAGTGGTTGGCATTGCTGCCTCACAGTACTCAGGCCCTGGGTTCAATCTTAGCCCCAAGGTGCTACCTGTGTGGAGTTTGTTTGTGCTCCCCATGCTTCCAGGGTTTCCTACTGGTTCACCAGTTTCCTCCCACAGTCCTGACATACTGGTAGGTGAATTAGCTTCTGGTAAAACTGGCCCTGGTGT